GATGGGCTTAGGAAAAGGATTGTGCACTTTTCCTGACGCAAATTCCTATCAACCATATAGATTTTGCCTTATAGCTTCGTAATTCACTGGACTGCCGCAATCATACTCATACTGATTATTCTATACATTGTATATTAGCATTAGAATACATCAAAGTTGATATGATGGGCTTAGGAAAATGATTGTGCACTTTTCCTGATGCGAGTTACTATCAACCATATACATTTTGCCATATAGCTTCGTAATTCACTGGACTGCCTCAATCATATGTATACTGAGTATTCTAAACATTGTATATTACCATTAGAATACATCAAAGTTGATGTGATGGACTAAAAAAAAGATTGTGCACTTTTTCCTGATGCGAGTTCCTATCAACCATATAGATTTTGCCTTATAGCTTCGTAATTCACTGGACTGCCTCAATCATATTTATACTGAGTATTCTACACATTGTATATTAGCATTAATATACCTCAGAGTTGATGTGATGGGCTTAGGAAAAAGATTGTGCACTTTTCCTGACGCAAATTCCTTTCAACCATATAGATTTTGCCATATAACTTCGTAATTCACTGGACTGCCGCAATCATACTCATACCGATTATTCTAAACATTGTATATTACCATTAGAATACCTCAAAATTGATGTGATGGGCTTAGGAAAAAGATTGTGCACTTTTCCTGACGCAAATTCCTATCAACCATATAGATTTTGCCTTATAGCTTCGTAATTCACTGGACTGCCGCAATCATACTCATACTGATTATTCTATACATTGTATATTAGCATTAGAATACATCAAAGTTGATATGATGGGCTTAGGAAAATGATTGTGCACTTTTCCTGATGCGAGTTACTATCAACCATATACATTTTGCCATATAGCTTCGTAATTCACTGGACTGCCTCAATCATATGTATACTGAGTATTCTACACATTGTATATTACCATTAGAATACATCAAAGTTGATGTGATGGACTAAAAAAAAGATTGTGCACTTTTTCCTGATGCGAGTTCCTATCAACCATATAGATTTTGCCTTATAGCTTCGTAATTCACTGGACTGCCTCAATCATATTTATACTGAGTATTCTACACATTGTATATTAGCATTAATATACCTCAGAGTTGATGTGATGGGCTTAGGAAAAAGATTGTGCACTTTTCCTGACGCAAATTCCTTTCAACCATATAGATTTTGCCATATAACTTCGTAATTCACTGGACTGCCGCAATCATACTCATACCGATTATTCTAAACATTGTATATTACCATTAGAATACCTCAAAATTGATGTGATGGGCTTAGGAAAAAGATTGTGCACTTTTCCTGACGCAAATTCCTATCAACCATATAGATTTTGCCTTATAGCTTCGTAATTCACTGGACTGCCGCAATCATACTCATACTGATTATTCTATACATTGTATATTAGCATTAGAATACCTCAAAGTTGATGTGATGGGCTTAGGAACAAGATTGTGCACTTTTCCTGATGCGAGTTCCTATCAACCATATACATTTTGCCATATAACTTCGTAATTCACTGGACTGCCGCAATCATACTCATACTGATTATTCTAAACATTGTATATTACCATTAGAATACCTCAAAGGTGATGTGATGGGCTTAGGAAAAAGATTGTGCACTTTTCCTGACGCAAATTCTTATCAACCATATATATTTTGCCTTATAGCTTCGTAATTCACTGGACTGCCTCAATCATATTTATACTGAGTATTCTACATATTGTATATTACCATTAGAATACATCAAAGTTGATGTGATGGGCTTAGGAAAATGATTGTGCACTTTTCCTGATGCGAGTTCCTATCAACCATGTAGATTTTGCCTTATAGCTTCGTAATTCACTGGACTGCCTCAATCATATTTATACTGAGTATTCTACACATTGTATATTACCATTAGAATACATCAAAGTTGATGTGATGGACTAAGGAAAAAGATTGTGCACTTTTCCTAATGCGAGTTACCATCAACCATATAGATTTTGCCTTATGGCTTCGTTATTCACTGGACTGCCGCAATCATACTCATACTGATTATTCTATACATTGTATATTAGCATTAGAATACCTCAAAGTTGATGTGATGGGCTTAGGAAAAAGATTGTGCACTTTTCCTGATGCGAGTTCCTATCAACCATATACATTTTGCCATATAACTTCGTAATTCACTGGACTGCCTCAATCATATTTATACTGAGTATTCTAAACATTGTATATTACCATTAGAATACATCAAAGTTGATGTGATGGACTAAGGAAAATGATTGTGCACTTTTTCCTGATGCGAGTTCCTATCAACCATATAGATTTTGCCTTATAGCTTCGTAATTCACTGGACTGCCGCAATCATACTCATACTGATTATTCTAAACATTGTATATTACCATTAGAATACCTCAAAGTTGATGTGATGGGCTTAGGAAAAAGATTGTGCACTTTTCCTGACGCAAATTCTTATCAACCATATAGATTTTGCCTTATAGCTTCGTAATTCACTGGACTGCCTCAATCATATTTATACTGAGTATTCTACACATTGTACATTACCATTAGAATACCTCAAAGTTGATGTGATGGGCTTAGGAAAAAGATTGTGCACTTTTTCCTGATACGAGTTACTATCAACCATATAGATTTTGCCTTATAGCTTCGTAATTCACTGGACTGCCTCAATCATATTTATACTGAGTATTCTACACATTGTGTATTACCATTCGAATAGCTCAAAGTTGATGTGATGGGCTTGGGAAAAAGATTATGCACTTTTTATGTTAGGAGTTTTAATTGTTCGCGTTATGTTAAGCCTTAGCTACGTATAATGTACAGTACGGTCTCAAATATGCCTTTTAAAATACGTCAAATAATTAGTTTTAACTTGTATACACGTATTATCAATGTATTATTGACATTATATAAATATAAAAACATCATTTCGCATCGTATTGTCATTGATTTGTGTTTCCGACATCCCTGCAAAACACGTTTGTGGCGTCCGCAGGCGTACCAACCCACATCTATTACAAACCGAAAAAGCGCCGATGAAAAGAGCCGCTAACTTCACGACGGTGACTAGACCAGACCAGACTAGGCTAGAGCAAATCCAAAATCACATCCGTTTCAATCGCGGATTACTCCTCTCCAATGCGCATGCGCAAACAAACTGTTCCATGGGACTATGGGAGCTGTAACAAGTGACACGCGTTCGATGACGATGGAAGGAACGGATACTGCAACCGGTTAACCTCACTTTGTTCTCCCAGTCAAACAAAGCCAACGCCAACTCACTCAACTAGGGTTCACCCATGGTGGAAGGAAAAAACAGGGTTCTGTAGTAGATCCTATATACTAGATACCGTAATGTGGAATTTAGGTTATTATTTTCCTTAGTTGTAAAATTTCTATACATTTTTATTTCTACTTTTAACCTAACCAACCCATATTAGTACATTGATGATGACACAGGTAAGGTAATATTGAAAATCCAATCCAATCCAATTCCACTCGCGGCCTCTGTGTTACAAATTTACAAAATAAAGGAACCTAACTTAACTTCTCACATTCCTTTTATTATTCCAAACGCTTTATTCCATTACAGTCAATGTCACTACATTTGTTAAACAAGAGTTTAATTTAACTTTATGCAGGCCTGACCCGAACATACAGTGTCGAGCGATCAAGTACTTAGTTTCAGCACAAACTATAAAATAAGTATCAATAATTTGTAAATATTTAACTGGCATAACTAACATAATATTAGTGTAGATATTTTGAGATAGGTCTAGGCTAGCTTGGTATACGCCTAATAATCTATTAATATTCAAGTTTAATTTACAAATTATGTTTCTAGCTTTAAAGTATGTTACTTTCAAGTTTTTATTGATACCTAGATCCATAATTTTTTATTGTGATATCACAGATATAGTACTTTAATGGTGATATAGCTGACTCAGAACATGGTGTGGTGATCTAAAATGCAGTAAGATTCTTTCAAACCAAAAGGCAGCAATTTAGGATAGTAAGTCAATATTAAAATTACCGTGAAGTGAGGGGGTGGACTTGCACATGAGATCCTAAAATAATAAACCAACATATAAGCAAGAACCAGAAAGTATACTAAAGTAAAAACAAAGCGCAGACTAGTTGGTAAAAGTAAAGGAACAGCCGTGCTATATTCAATTCATTGTACTGTGTGAGTGAGACTGTACACGTTGTAGCAGATAAATCTGATATCTGATATCTGTCACAGTTCCACGGAACGGTTTACTCACGCATGCGCAGTATGAGAGGAGTAATCCGCGATTGAAACGGATGTCCAAAATCCAACTCCAACTGAGAACTGACGCCAGTCCTGTTCTGGTTAGTTAGTCACTCAGTCACTTCACTTCAGTGCTCACTCACTCACTCCACTGCCCGGCTGGTGGTGTTTGATTGAACTTGACTGACTGACAAGGACGAGACTGAACGTAATGGAAGAGTGAGGGTCTGACCAAGGCCCCACTAGAAAAAACGCCGCGGCCTGTAGTTTAAGGTGGCCGTGTTCTGGTTTATGTCTTGATATTAGTTAAATTGCAATCTGAGTAGCCGAGTTGTTATGGGTTGTTATAGTGCTCGCCTTCAAATCTGAAGTTCACTGGTTCGATTCAAAGCATGATCATTTCCACACCCAGATGCGCGACAATATTAATTTTGTAATGATGCTATAACAAAAATGTTTGCGTTGTATAGTTGACAAGACCAGGGTTTGGACCGTTCCATTTCAAAACGTAAAACATGCAGCAGGCGTTGAAACGTAAAAAACAAAATAAAAATAAAAATAAATGATTACCAAACTATATATTCAACGGGCCTGACTTTCTTATAGATGCTGAAGTGTGATTGTAGTCTTATTCTGACCAGCTGATGCTTTTTTTTTTTCAAATCGTCTAAGTAAACTAGTAAAGCAGACGAGACAGGTGAAGCGCAGGTGAAGTTGACGTTTACTAAAATTGTTTGGTTAGACACAGTTTGAGTTCATAATATTCTCAAGATTATTAACGAAAATTACTTAATCGAGTTGCATACTAATGAATAGAAAACGATTCAATTCTTTCTGAGGTAAAATTTGCTTCAATTTTAGTCTGTAAATGTGTGTCAAGTAAATAGATCTCAAGGAACATTGTTTCTGTGTTCTGTTATTATACACCTGCCCTAGTGAAAGTTTCTATCCCCTATGAGCTCATATCATGTAAAAATCATGCTAAAATACATTTTCCTTTTTAAGTGAATTACCAAACACCTTAAATGCATATTATATTCTTTATAGTCCCATATTATCTTATTATCTTTGACCTTGTTATGATGAATGACTGGATGAGCATTTTTGTATAGTGAGAGGTCTGCAGACACTTCAGAATTAATAATTAACTTAAAAGGCCTTCATCCAATAAATTCTTAATGGTTAAATCATTTTTATAACTGGGCAGACTGGGCATATGCCCAGGGGCGCCTGGCAGGTGCCGTACAACTACTGCCCGCCCGCTCTAAGAAAAAAAGGGGGCCGCTGATTTTGAGTTTAGGGCTCCACTGACCCTTAACATGGCCCTGATGCACTTAAGTAATTTGTTTGACAGGGTTTATTAATATTAAGCCTAAATAATTGTGTAGGCTAGGTAATTTAATTTTTGTTGGTGGAATTGGGCAGTGCAGGTCTTCCATCATAAGCTCGGCCCGTTTTAATAATTTATTAATATTTTCGGCAGAACTGTGATAATTGACCACTCCATTGTAGCCTATTAAGTTATCGTTTGTTACAATCAACATAGACAGTTGAGGCTTTGGTTGGATCAAGTAAGTTATGGTTATTGATAATTTTATCTTTTTGGTACTCTGATGAAGTCTAATATCTATTAAGTTTCGCCATCTTTCCCTTACAGGACTTTTGGGATTTTCAAAATTTTAAACGAATGTACTTTTGGGTGTAAGACTAAAGAAAACACCAACTGTTCAACATAGAATGCTTCCTAATTTTCTGGTAAAAAAACTTTTGAAAAAAGTTATACCTATATTTTAAACTAATGGCTAGCCTACCAACATTGCAGATGGGGACTTCGTCCAGCCAGCATGTGGATTATGCAACCAACGAATACTTACTTCGGTTTGTTGGTAAAGAAAGTATTTCTCCAAATAATCCGTTTTGGAACAGGTTTCTTACATTTACACTGAAGCCACCATTGAACAAGTAAGCTGTGTTGATTCAATTAAAACATTTAACTTGTGCTTATATTTTGTTAGTTTAGTTTATACGAGTTGAACTAGGCCTAATTGGTGAGTTAATGTCTCAGTGCCTGGTCCAGTTCATGTACTGTATCGGCTCACCTAATTCCTTATACACTCCATGTTGGCCTCTGAATAGGCAAATTCAAGATCATAAGGCCACAAATCTCGTAACAATATAAAATACTCAAGTTGATTGTATTGTGATTATGGTTGAAGTTGAAGTGGAATAGTAAAAATAGAGTATCTGGCCGCTTCAAAACAGTACAAAGATTGTCTTGTAGAGTTAAATGAAGAGGAAAATGTTCTGTCACTCAAGCATTCACCTAAATAAAGGCCATTCACTTTCTATGTACCTTTGAACCTGTGTGCTTTGAAATTAAATAGTATAGGTACTAATAAAACACACATGTTGACAGTCATACAACTTTAGATTGGGCTGAAGATCTTATCTAATTTACGCATGTGCATAAAATTAAAAGTGTTGAATCGTTACGGCATTGTTGTTTACTACCTGTATCTCTTGAAGTAGGCCTAGTTGGCTCATTTTAGTTTAATAATTGAATTCACGAGACTAAACCAAAACGTATCTACTGTAGGCCTATAGATTATGTGTCTAAACATACCGCGCAGTTGATATGTTAACTGCGCAGGATTACAGCACTCTACATCGAGGCTGAAATGTTAACGAATATAAGTGTTTCATTGATTTATGCTTGGTCTCCTCCTGAAGATCTACAGCGTGAGTGTGGAAACGGACTCACAAAGATCACAATGTGTTTAATTCCTCTCATTAATGACATTATTCAACCGAGCCCACCCTATTCAATCACAATACTATCTAGTTTTGTTACAATACTTAATCACGGATTGATACTAGATAATCATCAAGAATACTATTAACAGCTGTTTGTTTTTAGAGCAGAGGATGAAGCTCTCATGCAGAAGATTTTACCGTTGTGTGAAGCGCTTAAGGAGAACAACCTGCAGACAGGGAATTTGGCAGCACTGCTTCACGTATTGTTCACTGTCTCGCCAGAATTGCTCGTCTCTACACAGGTGGAGAAGTACGTTACAGATTATAGCATTGTTTTTTTTTTTTATAGTCCATCAGTAGTTATAGTATTGATCGTACACTTAGACAGCCTTTATGGATAATACACGAAAAACACGATGTAGCAACGAATAAAAGATATTAGTAAACTGACATGTAGTTTCTTCCTTTAGCTTGTCATTAAAAGTTTGTGAAAGTGTACAGAGATACTTTCTTATTGTTATATTAGTCTATGTGGGTACTAATCCATGGATAGGTACTAATGCATTGAATCTCTTAGCATTTTTTAAATATTTTAAATCACAGATGTAATGCTAGTGCTATACTCAGTTGAGTCATTAACTGTTGGTGAAAATAAATTCTTGACGCATCATATTCAGTCAAGCTGTGTCATAACCTCAAATTCAAACACCTTACCTACCAAAGGTTAATGAAATAGGGTTAGCATCATAGAAATCAAAAGGTTGAATTCTGAGAAAAGGTTTCGCCACATACTATGTTAAATGTTCTCAAACATGTAATACAGAGCAATAACAATGAGAAGCATAAAATTCACAACCTAGTGAATGCCGAATTCATTTGACGTAACATTTTTTTCTGATTTCAGCAATATGTTCACCTGGCAAACATTTAATTCCTTGTTTATTCTTCGATGTTACACTAAGTATCTCGTGCAGAGCGGAAAAGAAGTGGACCTTCTGAGACACATAGAAACCAAAGGTACGTTGGGATTTAATTAGGTGTGTTGTAAAAATGAATAAAAAATTGCTGTCAACTCATTCATTCTAAGCACTCATCAATCAATTTCTCCTTTAAATAAGCATCCCGGTTTGTTGGGAGTTGTAGGAATCTAATCTAAACACCTAGATTATCAGTTTCTAAGCACAGAGAAGTTTTGTGCGCTTTTAGCTCTAGTAAGTTGTGTTGGTAACATAAATTGTGACGAGCGAGGAAGAGCGGAAGCCGCAAGAACTGTGCGGAAGTTCCTATGACATAGAGTCTTCCCCCACCATGAGTGTACATGAGGTCAAGGGGATGGTGTTGAATTTTGCCTGGACAAAAGCAAGTGTACCATTGAATGTGTCCTCTGTACCTTACTTCTCTGTGTTCTAGATTAAGAAAATAATAATTTTGGATCTTTGTTAAGTTAATTTCTCAATAGTTGTGTATAGTCTAAAATAAATTAACATTAGTCCTAATTTAGTATTAGCCAAACAATAATCCATGCAACACATATTGATGATCAGGCTAAATTAAACTATCTAACTTGTTTTTCTAATTAACAAATATTTTAAAAGGCTTCTTAAATAAATACTGTCATGTCCAATACTTATTTTGTAATGCACTTCTTTACTGACACAGCTGAAGTTATCGTTTCGTTTATACAATTGTAAAATAGATGGATTTCATGATTCCGTTCTTACCCTAGAAACATACTTAATTGGAAACGTATTTATTTCAGCCAATGGAAAGGATGACGAAGAATCACTGCTGAACCTATACGTGAACACATTGATAGATTTGATAGTGTTTCTACCTGTTGTGTAAGTATAAAACTTATTCTTTTTATGTAAAAGTAATCAAAAAAGATAATAAAATTCTTAAATGATTATTTCTTTAAGTCAAACATGTGTGCTCTACCTGAATGTGGGTAGAGTATTTTACTCCTTGCATTACGTTTTATTCTCCTTATTTTAACACTTAATTACCATCCTCTTCTTCCTTTTCCCCTTCTCACTTTTTTTTAACACTCTCCTATTGCATCATCTTCCTTTGTTATTATCATGATATATTCCTATCCACTTTTTACTCCTTATTCACATACGTCCTATTTCATTCTCATTTTTCTTTTCCCCGCCTTATGATCGTTCTAAGTCTTCTTCCATTCTTGTCCATTTTTCATACTACATATTATTTTTCTCTCTTCCACATCCCCTTCTCGCTAGATGGTCCTTATTCTACCCTTTCCATTCTCCTTTTCCTTCCAATTTGCTTTTTGTTGTGAATTGTAAATGTTTAAAGCTAATAATTCCTTAAATAAGATTTAAGGGGATATGACCAATTTACTTTCCACCAAAATACTGTTTCAGTTTCCAAACCCCTTTGATTGAATTGTGAAAAAGGTTATTAACAGTGAATACTGCTAATAAAACCTATATTTAAATCTCTGTACTGTTTTCAGGGACTTGACGTACGGCCTTTATGTGGAAGCTATTAACTGCCTTATTGTTCTGCTCTCTGTTCAACTTTTCACAACTCAAACAGCTGATCAACTTCAAGTTTATAGGTAACTAGCTGTACCCGCGGGCTTCGCCCCGTTTAACTTCATAAGTATTCGCATGGCTCATTCACGTCCTGGTTGAAGTTCGTTCGCTACGCTCACTCACCTTTAGGTTGGAGCTCGTTCGCTGCGCTCACTTGCCTTCAGGTTAGCTCGTTCGCTACGCTAACTCGCCTCAAGGTTGAAGTTCGTTCGCTACGCTCACTCACCTTTTGGTTGAAAATTAGCTGTTGTCATAAATAAAAAAAAAAATTAATAGTGCTGCACCCTGTTGGTAATCCTTGTAACTTTTATGCTGTTGAACATCATAGAACAGAACCAACTTGCAGGGCCGGTTTAACCCATACGCGAACTACGCGGCCGCATATGGCGCCACAAAAAAGTGGCGCCAACGGGACACAATTAATTGTTTTTTCAGAAGACAAAATCGGAAACAACTTTACTGACAAGTGAACAACTTAATTTCGTTTTTTTCGCTCAGAGATCAAGTATCCAAAGCACCACACCAAAGGCATTTATTATGTTTGTACCAACAGCACTTGAAAAAAGGGTACACTTGTACAGCACTTCAACTTAAGTCAATGCATTGATTTGCAGTTTCGATTTGTAGGGAGCTGACGCTCGGCAGCGTACAGCCACGGCCGCCTTTAACTCCAGGCTACGGCTGCGAAGTGGCAACGTCGCAAGTAGGCTTGTAACAGCTGTTTTGTTTGGAAGCAGCTAATGGTATATCTGTCTATTTACGAAAACTTGGTTAGTGGACTATGAAAATATTGTCTCTGCTTAAAATGTACAGATATAAATTTTCAATTCATAATGTTTTGGTTTTAAATTCTGTATGTTTTATTTTCAATATTTTAATAAATTTATGTTCAAAAATTTAAATAAATAAAGTGCGAATTAATTCTAGCTGATGTCACCTGTCTGCCATGTTGGGACGTCTGACACTAAACAACCCATCGGCAACGTCGCAAGTAGGGTTGACAACCCTACTTGCGACATTGCCAATTCTACAAGGCCGCGGCCTGGAGTTAAAGGCGGCCGTGGTACAGAGCGGCGCCTGTGGGTTTCATTTCATGACACATGCTCGAGATAAGCGCGCAGCTCTAATTTAAAATTAGTGCAGTAAATAAGAAGAAAGTATTATAAACAGTTGTTAGTATAAATATTGAGACATTGGAGTTAATGAGACATTGGATTCGTTTCGCAATCGGATTAATGTATTCAATTAAAAATCCCTCTCTTGTCGGCTACCTACACCCTGTTTTTCATTGTAATAAGCTTTATAAAAACATACATCGTATCCAAGTTATCCTGTAAAAATTGATTTCACATTTAGAAATAAATTGTTAACTTTGGGTTTTGCTAAAGTGTATAAAATGATGAGTAAAAGTGTAAAAATGTTATACTTCTCTGAATAATAAACAGTAGTTGAAAAAGTCTTTTATTGCAAGTTTTCTTCTAACCTAAACATATAAAAAAGTTCTTCCCAAACAATTACTTTCACAGATAGGGTTAAGTTATGTTCATGGTGGTGGTGTGGGGGGGGGGGGTAGGTGGCGCTGATTCGGGTGTTCGCTTAACTCTTAAAAATTCCTAGAACCGGCCCTGCCAACTTGTTTAATTGAGACAGCTGTTAAGATTCATTAATTCCTTTTAAATATGAAAAATCATAAGATTAACATGGGGAACTACAGAGCCACTGGGGCGGAGCCCGAAAGGGTTTTTGAGATAAGAATATGCTTTAATGTTAATCGGGAATGTAAGCTATCAGCATGCCAAATTTCAGCCCAATCCGTCCAGTAGTTTATGCGTGATTGAGCAACACACACACAAACATACACACAAACTCACAAACTTTCAGATTTATAATATTAGTAAGATAAGATAAGATAAGAATGCTTTAATTTCAAAATTTTGTAATATATTCTAGCTAAACAGTTTGTAATAAATTCATGTTTTTTAATCAAAGGTTTTTTTTATTGCAAAATCTCGTAAGGTGATTCTTGAATAAATTATGTGTTAACTTGATGGTCTATTAAAATCTTAGATGTGATTCTTCCAAATTTAGTTGCTCTTAACAGCAAATATAATTGACTCTTGTACAGTGTGAGTCATATAATTTGGAGATAAAGTATCTTAAAATTGCATTTAAAAGGAAATCTGAATGGTTGATTTAAAATAGTTATTCTTTATAAAAATTACTTAGTTAACTTTAAGTTTACATTTTTGTTATTACTTGGTATATTATAGGCTCTCCAATTTTATTTTGTAAATAGAAGTGTGTAAAATAAAGTTAAAAATTGTCTATACTGCATTTCAATTGTTTTATTTAGATAAACATGTAATTACAGATTCAAAGTCTATGTTAGATATTTTCTGGTCATTTTAAGTCAGGATTATCTAATATCTATTAGATGATACATTATCTACGTTGACTTGGCCTCTTTTTATCGCGTATGATCGGGAGTCTACTGTAATTGACTTGCCCACATTAAACTGTGACATTTGCAGGTTAGTTATGGAGAGTGACAGAGCAGAGAAACTGACGATGGTGCTTGTGCAGAGATACGTAGATCAGCCTCGACCTCCGCAGTCCGGGGGAAGTCTACTGCTCGGACTAGCCTGTGAGTGATCCACTAGACTAAATTGTTCAACCTAGCCTACCTAGACCCAATTCTAACCTAAAAATGCATTCAGTGACGGTTCTAGTACCTTGTCAATGGGGGGGGGTGCTAATGGGGTTAACCTACATCAGGAGGGGGGTACGGGGGCTCTCCCCTGGAGAATTTGCTATTTTTAAATCCTTTTGGTGACTTTTAAAGCCATTTTTAACGTCTAGAACTGTGTCCAAAAACGTCCGTTACCTATGTTTTATGACGATATGTATTTTCAAATTTATATTTCCAGGGTGAACCGCCACTGAAGGCATTGCGTAACCTTAGTTCAATTGTCTATTCAAACGATTTATCAGATCTTTTAGCCTAACTAACCTAAACTAGTTAGCCGGACCTAATTAACCTAATATCATGAATATAACTAGATAAAATCCATTTATGATCGGATCGATATGACCCAGGTCCAAATCCTATGCTCTCAAACTACTAGATCCAACCTTTTTTAAAGTTTAACTTTAATAAAACTCTTAGTGGAGCCGATGTACGTCTCAACCTTCCTACCCATTTTAGTCAACTAGTTGTCTTACACAGAATTTTGTTTTGCAATATGATTTGGCCACTTTGTTGTAAACTGAATTAAGAATGTTTCTAGCCGATGTGTGGAGTTATCTGACCGGAGGACAAGGTCCGGAGACTTCTACGCTGGGTAACCAAGCCGTGTTGTTGTTGCTGCTGCTCATCAACCATTGTAACAACCCTCGCAATCCGTACAGAGAAACTCTCAATAACTATTCTGGTAGGTAGTGTACAGTCATTCCATCTCCGTGTTGAATCAAAATGGGTGTAGTTGAGTTGAGCCGACAGATTGCGCGTTAATTACCGATTTCTCGATTACGCAGATTTTTAACCAGGTCAAACGGATACGACTTGTAAGCTATAAGTCACATCAACTGTGTCAGTAACATAAACTAAGGTATAAAATCAAATTTTATACTGTAGTAATTTCTGGGAGTGGCTTATTCAATTACCTGTTCTGTTTTAATAAGAAATATGCTACAGGTGGTTTAAATAGATGATATGTCCAAAATTCAGTGATACAACTTGCATTAGATAAAGAATAGTTGTAAAAATTGGACCAAAACCAGGTGCAGCAAGATCAGATAGGCTGAAAATAATTATAAACTATGTATAAAGTTGGAAACATTGAAAAAACATATTATTCATCAATAACATAAATATTAATCTATCAACATAAACTTTAAAAACTTTGTTTTTAAGCCATCTTCAAATACAACATCAATAAAGCACTCTCTCATTTTTCCTGAATGCTTATTTAACTAGACACTACATGCTTAGGAGGTAGAAAAAGAGAGAAAACTTAACTACAAGGACAGTTTTGCAATCTGGCGTTTGTTTAGTTATGTTTCAAAACTATTAAGTCACTGGAAGATAATCGATTGGAAAAGTAAGAATGTACAATCTACGCAATAGGTTTTTCAAATCCCACTCAGAACCCAGTCTCGCAAGTGTTTTGAGTGACTAGATAAACAACTTATCATAGAAATTTTCAATTTTTAATTTTATTTTTCAAAATCTTCATAGAGAATCTCGGTGGACTGCTGACAACATTGTGTTCTACGTTGGACAGAGAAGAAACAACCCTTTTTCTCTACGCTTTGGTTCATCGAAATCAAAACTTCAAAACCTACCTAGTCTCTCGATCAGACATAGAGTCCTTGGTAAGTGAAGTGTGAAAAGTTTGCACAGTAGAACCCCATCATTTCCCTTCCATCTTCCATTTTCCCTTGGTTATTTTCATTCCACCTCTTCTTTCGTCCGTCCCTTGATACCGGTGCATTTCTTCAAGAAACCAGAATTAAAGAGAGAATATATTCAATATACCTACTTCCCTCCTTCTCTTCCACTTTAGTCTTTCTACTTCCGCCTCCATGATCCTTATTCCGGTGAATTTTTAGTTTTTTTACAGTAGATATGCATATTTTGTATTGGAGTAAATTAGTTTATCTCTTATATGACTTTGCTTCACCCACTCCAATTTTAGCCAATCTACGAGGGCTATCCAGAAAGTGACAGACCTTTTGGCCTGGTGCGGCAGTGGTAGGGGCTAGGACCGCCATTTTGGTGTGGTAGCCAGAGTATCGTGACTTCTGTACATTGTATCCAGTGGAGTTTTGAAATGAGGGCTACAATTCTAAATCCCGCCATTTGTAAAGTGCGTGGTGTGTTAAGTTTTTTGTTGTCTAAAAATACAAACCTATTGAAATTTATCGCCAGATTTGTGATGTTTACAGCCAAGAAATAATGAGTGAAAGCCGAGTGAGGCAGTGGTGTATTGTTTTTAAAAGTGGCCGAACGAATGTTCATGATGAGGATTGCAGCGGTAGGTCTAGTCTTGTGACTGATGAATTGGGAAGCTCAAGGAGTGATTTTGGTCCACTTTCTTGAACGTGGCCAAACAATTAACTCAGAGAGGTATTGCAAAACACTCTGAAAATTAAGACCTGCAATCCAAAACAAGTGTCGTATTAGCAAAAAGTTTTTTTTTTCATGACATCGCCCGTCTACACACGGCCAATCGTACCCGAGAGTTATCGGATGGTTTTGGATGGAAATTTTTTAATCATCCGCCGTACAGTCCAGATTTGGCGCCGAGTGACTGCCATCTGTTCCCAGTGATGAAGACGTGGCTCGCTACGCAACCCTTTAACAGTGACGCTGAACTCCATGCCGGTGTAAACCAGTGGTTAAACTCACAGGCAGTATATTTATTTAAAGAGGGCATTGAAAAGGTTGGGCTAGACTAGGATAAATGCCTTGATTTAAATAACAATTATGTAATAGCCTAAAGGTTTGGCTTCAAAATGTATGAAATAAAAATTGGTTTTTTACATTTTGTTAGTGTTTTATTTCAAAACGTCCGCTACTTTCTGAATAGCCCTCATCATTATCCAACCAGGTTGTTATAACATAAAGATGATGTATACGATTATATATGCCAAAATAACATTTTTTTTTTATGCAGAGTACATATGTGTTTTCAATTTAAAGCCCATGTCATTATGTTATGTTTGAATCAAATTGAATATTAATATTTCTGTTTTCAGGTCCTTCCCATATTAAGTGCTGTGTACACAGGGCCAGATGAGAACTGCCATCATGTTTACATGAGTCTAATCATTCTTCTGATTCTCACGGAAGATCCACTCTTTAACAAGACAGTTCACTCTACGGTAAGGCTGATCAGCTGTCGGCTGTTGTTTCATAGATGTGGTGAGGTGCAGGGGAAGAATCTCAAAATTTCAAAACCACCTAAATTTTGTGAAAAGAGTATAGTATGCTATTTTATCCAAATCTCTATAGGGGTTGGTTAGAAATAGGCCACAAGTTTCATGCCTCAATTCTTTGTTTGTTAATGTTCCCAGCAATATTACTACAAAAGTCTTTCTCATATATCTACGCGAGTTGAAATGTTTTCATTATTTATATAATTTACAAGCGTAATAATTTTATCATTTCAGATGCTCAAGACCGTGCCGTGGTACACGGAGAGGATGGTTTTGGATATTTCACTCGGAGGCCTTATGATTCTAGTCACGACTCGGACGGTCCAGTATAACCTGCTCAAAATGAGGGTAAGGCAGCTGTGTTCGGCAAAGTGTTTCATGTCTTTGCATGAAGTGGGATAGAAATTCTCACACAATTATTGTGTTTTACTCTTACACTATAGTGTATATATTATAGTGTGATCGATTTGAGATGGTTTAGCGTATACAGTAGAACCTCAATAAGAAGACTCTCATGGGGTTTATTAAATAAGACGTTATCAAGGTTGACTTCTTGTCGAGGTTTGCAATAACATGTGCTTAGGGGTAAAATAAATTCTAGGGGATGTGACATTATGTTTTCACAAAGGGAAGTAGGTTACCAGGCATTTGGAATATGAGAGGAGTAGAGAAATTACTGCATGGTGATGAAATAAAATAAAATATGTTCCACTTAACCTCTAACAAAATAAATAAACCATTTTTAACTTTCAACTTTCACAAGATTTTTATATCTACCCTAGCATTCTTTAACTTACTGCCATAAATGGTTTGATCTTGTTAAGTACCCAAATATTGTACACTTACATGATTCTGTATTATCCTGCGATAGGATGCTTTATTACGTCAAACGTTTTACATCATGTAACCAATGCTGATGCTTACAGGACAAATACCTTCACACAAACTGCTTGGCAGCTTTGGCCAACATGTCCTCACAGTTTTACGAACTACATCCGTACGTCTGTCAGAGGTTGGTAGGACTGTTTCAGGTTCTGGCGAAGACACACGCAAGGGCAAACTCCGAGGTGAGTCAATGACGCTACTGACTATTTTGTTCCATTCTGATTAGTTTAACTAGGTTTTTGAAAAGTGGCTATATCACAGTTGGTGTTACAGTAGAACGTAGAACCTTGATAACAAGACTCTCGTGGGGATTGTAAAATATGACTTGTTATTAAGGTTGACTTCTTATCGAGTGACCAAAGATTTTAAGTAAAAGTGTATTTTTAAAATGTACAAATAACTTGGGGTGGTGGATATAACAGAAAAAAATCTGGTGTGGTGTGATTGTGTGTCGCAGAAGGGTATGCTTTCCCAATACATTCAAGCTTTTACTGTCTCATATGCAACACAAACTTTGCATTCTCCTTTTGCGTCTGTTGATGTTGATGATGATGATGATTTTTTGAGGTATTGATCAATTATGTGGCACTTATTCCTGAGCAGCTTTATGTAGTCGTTTTTTTTAGCTTGTTCTTGCTTCACAGCCTGTTCAACTTTAAGTGATTAAATGCAGCTTCCTTTCTATAATCTAATCTCCCGAGGAAGGTGTCTGTCCCTTGTTATTGTTTCAAGAATGTTTTCCCTTAACTCATTCAGATCCCCGCAGTCTCCTGTGCCACTCACCAACGCCGCTTCCTTGTATTACAGGAGACTATGCTTCAATCGACCCGAAAATGTAGAAGTTCATTTCTAATCACTGACTAAGGTTCTCTACAGTTTGATTTGAGACTGGAATAATTCAAGTACCGGTAATTAAAAATATTGTACTGTTTATTCAAAATACACACAGTTTCGCACACATCTTCGACTAATCAATAATTTTTCCAGCAAGGTACAGTTCAGGAAGCACTGAGGATACTTCTAGAAGTAATCAACTCTTGCCTATCCCATCAGCTGATCCACAATACCAACTTGGTGTACACTCTGCTCTACAAGAAACATGTGTTTGAACCGTTCAAGAACGACCCTGCGTTCCAAGACGTCATTCAGAATTTGGACATGGTCAGTACAATTGAAACAGAAACTATGTGTAGTAATTCCATATGAAAAAGAAGTTGGGAATCAGTTAATATTGTAGGCTGTACATTCAGGGTTAAAATGTTAGTTTTTTTTTTCTAATGGCTGCCCAATACTTTTTTATTTTCTTACCGATAACAATATATTAATTTAATATAATCACTCTTACGGCATAGAAGGTAAGAATCAAAGCAAGTATTCCTTTACTTAACCTACCATTTTAGTGATACCAACACTCTAGTCAAACCATTAACAGTTTAGAATCGGTTGATCAATGAACGGTGAAACCACTAATGAACGACTCTATGACTCAGGTGATAGAGTTTTTCACCACTAAGCTGGAGAAGGAAGAGGATCAGAATACAGACGTGGACGTGGTCATGGCTAGAGTGCAGCAGGCAGCTCTGCAATGGCCTACGGACAGGCTCAAGGTAACGATAGGATTAGGAACAGCGATTAGATTTGCGAATGAGTTTATCTTATGCAGTGTTTAGTGAACCACCGTGGTTGTACGAATGACAATCCAAGTACAAGTAATATATCTCAGGATTGTTTTGGCTGGTACATTTTGTTCTGGAATGTAAAATCAGCAAGACGTATATAGTAGTCTTTGAGGTTATTTTGTCAGTTTAACAAAGTATAAAGTTATTAACATTAAATCCTAATAGCACTATGAGCAGAATTAAATACTTGCGCTTGGTGCTCAGTAAGCGTGCTTACTCATATCAATATATCAATTCAGCCCCCAAAAAAGTTGTATCCAATCCAGAATAAACGGGACTAAAGCTCAGAATAAACTTTAGACGAGACTTTCTCAAAATGGCTTCTATTCGACCTGAGCCTGCTAATTATTTAACTTGGTGTATTATGTACATATATTCAATATTTCCAACAAACTTAATGGGTTCTTTGTTAGTATCAGCTCTGAATATTTAAAATTTTTGGGAATTGGATTATAATAAGGTAGGCAAAATAAAGAACAAACATATTCCATCTATGATTACCTTCATTGTGACTAAGTGGTTTGTGAAATATTTGGGTCTTGTGGAGTACATCAGGAATAAAGGGTTAGGAAACACTGTAGTTAATCAAAGCAATATTTTATTTCCGCAACAAGAGAAACAAAAGTGAATTTCATCACCGATTTGGTTTTGTTTTCAGAAATTCCCAGAACTGAAGTTTAAATACGTAGAAGAAGACAAGCCGGAGGAGTTTTTCATTCCGTACGTTTGGTCGTTGGTGTCGCAACAATCTAGTCTACATTGGGACGCCTCGCTGTTCAAACAATGCTGATAGTAGCGTAAACAGCTGTGTGTCATAAACTGCCGTCATTGGTTACAGCTGATGCTTTGAAGAATATTTTGTGAGATACGGTTACTTTTTTCTATTGCTTATATCTACTTTATACTTTTACAATTTGTTTGGGAAATTGTTACCAATCCGTTTAAGTTATTACAAATATTGTTTGTAATCAGTAACGGTTTTTTTACTTTAATCGAAATATCAATCATCAAATCTAAATCTTTCAAACAGTGATGCACGATTTGGTGCATATTTTAAGCTATGTTAACACAAGGTGAGTGCAGAATGGAGTGAGATGATCTGTGATGCTTTATTACTCACTAAGATCAGCTGTTTCATTTATCATTAAAAAAAAAATTATTAAATAGTAGGCCCTACAATGATCAAGGATAGCTGGGCCCACTTGCGAACCATCAAAAAGCTACTGACTTTTCTCAGGATCAAACCGGCAGCCCTTAATAAATAATAATAATAAGTCAATCAATCTCATATTCAATTCAATTCAATTCAAATTATCTTTATTCATCAAGTACATTAGAAATATCTACATGAATAGTGTCACATTTCTCATAAGTTATAAAAAAATATACATGCTTATTGTGGTGGATGATTGTGATAGGTTAAAACTTCATCATCTTTTTTGACCTTTGAACTCAAGTGAAAATAAAAATAACCTCACCCTAGCAAACCTGCAGACTAAGCAAACTTCTATATGCCTGATTGAATTTTCACTAAATTATTCCCTTAAAAATGTCAAATGTATTCCCTATTTAATAGCATTAAAAAGATTAAACAAGAACGGTTTGCTGCTAAAGGAAAGCGAAAAAGTGTATTTTGGTGAAATAATAGCTTAGAATGGAATAAATCAATTTGTCAAATTTGATCAAAATACACTCATTGAATAACCAATTGATCAAAGCATCTACTGTAACCTACAACTTTGTATTACACCTTAGGAATATCAGTTAACATGACGACTAACATAAAAAATGCAATGTGTACATAATATTATTTATTTAAGTGTAGTTATTGTTTTGGAAAAACATCTTACCTTTAGTGTTCATTTTGGTTTAGATTATAGAGATTATACAATTTATTTATCAAAGGTGTTTTGTTGGTACTAAAATGTTTATAACTTACGGTAAAAGAAAACACAAGAAACACTAGCAAAACTAATCATTTGAATACTTTGTATATTTAAAAAATGTTATTTATTTCAATTGTAGATTGTTTTGTAGTTTAATATTTTAGTTTGAAAGATAAGCGTTAATATTCATCAATAAAAACGTTTTAACATATTTATTATAGAAATACTATAGTTTTTTAGTTCTATTTATTTTCAAAGAAAATTATATTTACACCTCATTGACCTTTTAGGGTCTTGTTAATGTAAAGTCAGTTATAAACATGATTTTACAATTACTTTAACATTACTATGTTTTGCTAAATTGAATATATGCACCAAAATAAACAATGCTAAAACCAAATTTCAGCGTTGATTATTACTCAATTCTATAATTTGATATGGTAACACACCAAAGCAAAGAGCAAAATAAATCTTATTGACATATCGAGTCATTTTCAGTCATTATCAAATACTTAAAACTGTTCATCAATCCCTAGAATAAAAATATCAATTTCATCACCAACTTTATTTATATGTGAAAAATGTTGCCTTTCAATATGTTATGGATACCAACATGCTAGAAACCAAAAAGTACCCGTTTTACCTATGTGTTTTTTATGTACATAATCGGGGCAAGGCTAGGTTATTAGTTTAAAATGTAGAGTCTTCTTTTACAAAGGCCTAAATTCCAATACTTCTAACAGCTGAAAAGCAATGACTTTTAGCAATGCAATAATGAAATAATGCTTTTTTCTGAGGTCCACCTCCCACCTATCTAGAAAACGAAAAAGGCAAGGAGAACTATTACTGTATTTGTGAACTTGTATTGTATTGGTGACCTTCTTTTACTGAAAGCCATTAATTTATTTAATTGTTTTAAATTGATAAATAATTTAAATCTAGTAACTATTGTCCCCTGCAGTATGTTATTACCAAGAACATACAGGTCTAAAAATATTTTTTTTATATTATGGAGAATAGTTTCCTTAGCAATTTGGAATTCAGCGTAAGTGAACAAAATTTTAAATTTAAAAATTACTGTTTATTTAACGAATGTACAATTGATGTTTGATTACTTTTACATTCTTTATTTTTTACTATTTTCCCTCAAATTTACTTTATCAAGTATGTACTAGCAATACTTTTATACACTTTGACAGTGGCTTGTATATTAACAAATTGTACATTATGTTGATTAATAAACTGTGTTTTGTAAAACCTTATGTTTTGTTAAGTCTTTAAACCATGTTTTACTATAATGCTGAAAAATTATGAAAAATTAGTAATTTGGGTTCAAGACTGATTACAAGTTGAACGAGGTCCAACCACAAAAACTAGTGTAGTAACGGGTTTCCCTATGATTATTTTATTGTTAGATTTGTGGAATCTTCTATAACTAAAGTAGATTGTTGCTTATGAATCTAACTTAAAGAGAAAGGTAGGTAGATGCATCATTGTTAAATTAAAATTTTATCATTTAATCTATATCACCATCATAAGAAACATTGTTTTTCAAATCATTTTGAGTGTCATAATCAGAAATTTCTCTTGGGACAGACCTTCCAAGCCTCGGGTTGAACATTCCAATCACTTTCCATGGTTTGTCTTCTTTTTCTCTTCTTCTCTCTCTTGGGAAGCCGTATTCCTGACTATCTGCAAACAATTTTGCATCTAGCTTTGAGATGATTTGTGCCTTCAAATTCCTACTGAATATTTTTTTACAAAAAATGTTAGGGTTACAGAAAATCATAAAAGAATACAACTAACTTGCCCAAAAGTTTTATGCGGTTGACAGCAGACAACTAGGTCACACATTAAACTTTATATTTGGCCTCTTTCATTAACAAAACTCAACTGTTACTCAAAGCACAGATGACACAATTAAAACCAGCTTAATTTGTGGCAAATTGAATCCGTCAATAACTTTTGTCCATAATCCAAAGTATCTTACTCTTTCTGTTAACAATCCTTGTCCACCCTACTCTGTGTGTGTTGTCTGCACCTTTCTATATTCCTACTCTCTCACAGGGCTTTGAACTAATCCACTCACCCCAAAAAATTTTTATCATTTTAGGGAATAAAGACGCTTTCAAACTAACACTGCTCGATCTGTGGAGCATGGGCGTATGGTAATCAAATAAATAAATAACAAACATTCCGTCGAGGAGTTTGTATACGGAGTTTCGTAAGAAGCTATCTCAAAAATATCTTTTCTTCACTCAGTCACTCGTTTCCTGGCGATGATGAGGCACGAATAAGGCCAAGAGGCAAAACATTGTCGCCTGAGCCAGGAAAACGATGTTAGGACACAGAAGCGGGGAACTCGACCAAATTAAACCCCCGGAGTAACCCAGCTCGGCTAGGCTATCAGGGACGTGTAACTCCCCGAGGCGACAAAATAACCAAACGCACCCAAAAGATTAGGTAAATTTCTGTAGCATAAAACAGCAGTGGCAACAATTACATTCAAATGTTTTAGTCGTGATTATATTTATATTTTTCACTCTATTGAACTACCTTCCGAATCCCACAACAAAGGATAATCGCCTTCAAAGTCTCGTTTCCCGAGTCGAGGAGAGAATGGACTTGCTGACTGCGTCTCTTGAAGCCGCTTGCCTAAGCGAGGCGTGTAGAAGCCTGTTCTCTTGCCAAGCCGAGGAGTGAAGAAGGACCTTCGCCCTTGAGTGTCGTACCATCGGAAAATGAGAGGGTTCTGAACCTCTGAGATGTCTCTTGAGTCGTCAGCTTCTTGCGGCTTTGCTCCTGGAAAATAAATGTCTTAGGTGATAATTTGTATGAGTTTTGCTGCACACAGGTGCATTCAAGATATGGATGTTGAAGTATAGAAGCAGCGGGAAGATTTTTGTTGCTTCAAAATACGTTGTATATACAAGACAAAATAGTTTCATGAAATCTTGTATTGAGTTTTACAATTAAGTACACTTTGGATAGACTTGATTTACTGAAGACTTTCATTGACTCTATTCAACAGTTCTCTATTCTCTTTCCAACGTACATTGTGATTTTTGTACATATGAATCACGTATAAAGAGTCTTATTTGAAATCTAGCGTTGTCTAATAGGATTCTCTAGTCCCAAAATAACGAAGGAATGCCTACGTAGAGCACAAGGGCTTAAGATTATGATTTTTTTTTAGGAAAGCAGGCTTATCTGAATGGGAAACAGAACACTTTACGCTATAGACAAAATATTAGAATATTTCAATGTCTCTGACATCATTTTCAACTAAAGAAGTTATGAGTTTAAGAGCAAAAAAATACTACGTTGTCTTTTGGGAAAAGGTTTTCAAAGACAAAGAGTCTGCATTGAGTATAAGAACTTTTGCCCAAAATTTTGAATTAATAGATCTACAATTTCCCTGCTATTGACAATTTTTTTTGTGCTTTGGTTGAAGTCAATACTGTATTCTATCGAACATCAAAATTGCCAACATCGTTTACCTGCAACCAATCCTCTGTCTGCATCCAAAAGTAAATAAGGGGAATCTTCTTCTTCTCGTTTCCCCAGTCGGGGAACGAAGTATTTCGCCCGTTTGCCCAACATTGGCCTGAAGTACACGGACAAGTCATGTTGTGTATTATCTTGTTTCTTTAATTTCCCAACCGAAGCATCGTAAGATTCTCCTCCTGTAAAAAAATTTCAACAATCCCTTTAAAAGTTTGTCTACTGTGTGTAATTTAACCATTTTAAAGTCGATTTATTATGCACATACAATCCCACATTACACATGGTCTTTGTGTGAAAAGAGGGAGATTAGGCATAAACCTAAAGAAAATTCTTTTTTTTTACATAAAGAAAGAAACAGTAAGGGTCAAGCTTAACTAAGAACATGATGAGTTAGCAAGAGAATCATTCATATACCAGAAACAAACATGAAAATATTTAGACGAATACAGTTTAAGTGGATAATGAAGGAGAACTATCATATGCAGCGATAAAGATTTTAAAATCAATTCCCCCAAAATTAAAGAGTGAGCCAACTAATTCAAATTTTGACCTTGTTAAAAAATTTTAAACTAAATATCTAATATATTTTATGGAAAAAAATTGTCTAATTAAGTGTAAGAAATTAAGAAACATTAGATGAATTGAGATGTTTTGATTTTTTGAAAACATTTCTCCACAGAAAAATAAATTTTTATCCTACACACAACTTCTGCAAGGATACTGATGCACTGTACTATATTCTGGTACAATTTGGGATGTTAAATTAATTTTCCATTGATAAATACTGAAAAAAAAACAAAATCAAAATAATATCATAATAGCAGTATTATGTATAACATGGTATCTTAACGTTAAAAACAAACAAATATTTAGCTGAGAGATGGAAGTTGTAATAAAACAGTCCCGTTTGAGATTTTACAGTCATATTCAATATCTCACTCCATAGAACATCAATCGAAATTTAATTGAGAACTAGTGTACATGTTGCTCGAATTCGAGCAATTGCAAAGTATTACAGGAGTTATTTCAAAACGAATAACAGTCATATTTACAATGAGTTTAAAAGAGTTGATTTAAAGATTACCGGTGTGTAACTCAGACCAAGTTTATATTCGTTATTGATAAACCTAAAACATTCCGGCCGGTTTTCTTCTTCTCAAAATGCCTCGCTGTACAGACAACACAGGCCATTGAAAGAGGACCAATTGAGAAAGAAAAGTTGTTTTGGGGTAGTGTTAGGGCGCATTTGTAACCTAATAGTTGAGATTGTCCAGGGTCAGGTGCTGACTACCTATACGCGCCACTTTTCTGTAGCTGCGGTCGTTATCACGATTATGCCTCCTGTCTATGGTTCGTTGTCGTCACGTCGGAGGCATTTAAAAGAAAAAAAAACAAATAAACAAATTATAGCTACACAAAACAACGATAAATGCACAAATTTAAGTTACAATCATGCTAACACGATCTGTCATAGGGACACAAAACAACGATAAATACACAAATTTAAGATACAACCATACTAACGCGATCCGTCTAGGAGGTTATGTTTACACAAACTGAAATAGTAAATGAATGTACAATGCGTTTCAATGAATTGAAAAATAAATAACAGCAATTAAATTATACAGCTGATCAAAATGTAAACAACTATGTTCTTCATAAGCATAACATGTGAACTTTCAAATCCACTGGGGCAGTGCCCAAGGGACTTTTTCAAAAATGTAAGGCCAGTTTGCAAATCTACGCGACACGCTCTTTCCAATGAGACGTCAATGGATAAAATCGGTTAAGAAATGGTGGAGGGGTTCAACCGACAAAGTTTCATGTAGCGTATTAATTATATAGATATGATTTCTAAATTCACTGCTAATAGTTCAAATACAAGAAAAAGTAATGACAAGACACACTTGATTTTGTTCGTTGGATTACTTAAAAGCAAGTATTTAATGTCTCAAAGCATAAACCAGTTTTTGATCAATCATTCCATTGAATAGGTAATCATGAGTTAAAAAGAAAAAGTTATCGTAATTTAAAAAAAATTATAAGTAACGTCACCTGAAATATAAACAGTTATTGCGAACAAAGTAGAGCACCTTACGACCAGGGACACCATTCTTGAACAGACGATGTTCAGCGGCAAATGTCCTTAAATACCCTACAGACGTCCTTAATTAAATTAGACTTAACGTAAACAAATTACCATCTAATCGGTATAACACCCAATCAAACTGTCAAACAGATGTTGTTTATATCCGTTTGGTCTTAGTAATTCCAAAAATATAAATGTTATAATTTTATTACATAACCAAATGAATAATTTAAAAGGGTTTGAAGAATTGTAGGGGTTATAATTTAAAAGGGTTTGAAGAATTTTAGGGGTTATAATTTAAAAGGGTTTGAAGAATTTTAGGGGTTTTTAATAGGGTTTAAATTAATTTGAAAGCTACAAGTTTTACTGAAAGGCGGTAGAAATGTATTTGGCACTTCATTCTCAAAATTGATTTACATTAAACTGTTGTTTATCATAAAATTGAGGATTGATAAAAGTTTTGTTAATGAATTTTACTATCATTGGTAGAGCTAATCAATAATTGAACCATCCAATGAATCATGAATGGATGATTGGATTCAAAATATTGTGCTTATCCTCCAAATTTTTTTTTTTTAATTTTTGCTCTTTTGTGTCTTGAATCAAACACTGCTGCAATATTTGAAATACAAATTTACTGTGCTTTAAGGTCTTAAACCTCACCTTTCTTTTCTATAGTTATTGAGATTACTTCTAAAAATTTAACCAGAGCCTTTGGTAGAACTAAATCAGATAAAACCTCTTCACATTTCTTCCACTTTTATGTCAAATCTAATTTCATATGATAAATTTACAAAGTCATAATAGAGATTTACACATATTATGCGGCAAAACCAAGTGAACCATCTTTTAGATATTTTTGGAAGGCAGTCTATTTAGCAGTTCTAAACCAAGAAAAAAATATTTTGTAAACTTTAAAGAACATAGAAACCTTTATGACTTTGATAAAAGTAGTTCAAGGGATCAAGTTATATTGAAAATGTTTATAATTTTTATTTTTTAGTTATTTAAAGGTGATAAACTCTTGAAGATTCCTAATGTCAAATTCTTCAGAAGTTTTAAACGTCTTTTCTCAAAAACATCGATCATCCCACCTTTAACTTATGCTCTAAATATGTCATTGTGTTGTATTAACACTTATCTTGGTAATTGATAACTAAAAATTTTTTTAAGATGCTTGAATGTTATATAAAAACAGAACATACTGTAGTATAGAAGATTATAAAATAGGCTAAAGAGAGGAAAAGGAAGGATTGAGTAGTACAATACTTAGTTGATGATACAATTCTCAAAACCATAGTAGCACTATCTTAAAAACTCAGCTATGGGTTTTGGACATTCAGAAAGTACCGTAATACGATTCAGAAACTGTACCAGTGAGTATGGTGAAATCGTTAACACCTGCGAATAATATAAAATCATGAACACCTCCCGTGCTCACAGGCATATCATCATCGCCACTCGTGATTCCCACAAAATCGTGAACAACTCCCGCAACTACGGGGGCGCCATCATTAATAGTTGAACATAAAAATTCAATTTTAATCTAGAAAAATTTTTTTTTTCAAAAGGTTGCAACCCTCCTTGGCCAGTGGTAAATCTGGCACTGGTATTTATAATAACTTGCTTTGGATAGTATATTCCCTGTGAGAAAACTGAAGTATCTGAAATAGATATTATGAAGATCACCCGTGTGATTTACAATTATCTACATTGTCTACCAAAACAAGTTCCTTTAGTTACATACAAGCTATTTCGTATCCTGAGAGGAATACATAAACATACCACATTCATTTTTATACTTTTTAAACCCCCGTAATTCTTTGAAATATACTCCCTCGTGTTTTTTATCAGGATCACTGGGAAAGTTGAAAATAAAAAACTCACAATGAAAATCAAAGTAGGTTACTTAACAAAGTTTATTGGTTGCACTATTTCACAGTCGCTCAGTGTTTGTCAGTACTCCGTTCAAACCTCTCGACAGGTTCCATCTCACGGCCGAGGCGAGGGGAGAACGGGAGGAGTTTACGACGCCGACCCAGCCTTGGAGCAAACGGAGGAGCTTTGGAGTTGTCTGGAACTTCTTCAACTTCCCGGAGTGACGAAGCGCTCTGTGACCCGTGAAGACCTACAACAAAGATTGTGGAGAAAAAATGAAAAGAAAGTGTGACGTTTTTCTTCAAACAAGATGGGAATGCCACCTAGGTGAAGGATTGCGACCCAAAAATGAGTGAAGTATGAGTGTAGAATGGAGTGAGATGATCTGTGTACCTTTGTTACTCATTAAGATCAGTTGTACCTATCCAGTATCAATAATTAAAAGCCCAATGATCAGGGACAGCTGGGTCCAGTTTCGAGCCATCAAAAAGATACTGACTTATCTCATGATCAATCCAGACACCTTTTGATTGTTAGGCGAGTTTATTTGAAAGCCTGATCATCAAGGACAGCTGGGTCCAATTTCGAACCATCAAAAAGTCAATGGCTTCTTTCTAATCAGTCAGATGTTACTTTACAACAAAAATGTAAAAATTCTGTCCTAGTAACCAAACCTATTGTGTAGTATTGTATTGTGTCCTTCAGTTTTCAATGGTTATTTATATTTGGAAAACATAGAATTGTATCCATCTTAGGTGAATGTTGTCCAATTAAAATTCAATCAGACAAGTGACAGTAAATTAATTTAACCTTATTTGCAGGTTTCCTCCGATTAGGGTGTTTCTCAATCTGAGCCGGATTTCGTCCAGCTAACCAAAAATCAGGGTCCAGCTACCAATGTTCAAATGAAGTAAGTTAAAAAAAAAGTATACAAGACAATGTTACTAGGTAAATGACTCATAATCTGCCGATCATTAGACTTGCCGAAATTATTTAAGTAAAGGATTACCGCAAACTTCAAAAAACTGCACTGAACTTAATTTCCATGGCGAATTTGTTTATTTTTTCTCCTTGAGGTGATTTAGATAATTGGCAATTGATGATTAGAGTTCTTATATTAACTAACTTAAAAAAAGCTTCAAACATGAAATAAAATAATTATACTTCTCAGAGGCACAAGAGCCCAGGGTGTGTCTTCTAGGACACTGATGAGAGAATCCTCCAGAACAGCACCCTGAGAGTCGCCCATATTCCTCTTGCGTCTCCCCAGACGGGGACCGAACCACAGGTATGGGTTCTGGGACTGCTGTCCATCCACGGACGCTGTTCCGTCAATGTACATCTCTGTGTACGGCTCCACTCCTGATAAACCCAGAGAAAAGGATTACAAACTAAGAGCTATTGAATGGAGGAGCCTTTTCCACATGCAGTGTATAGTAGAAACTTAACAACCTCAATAACAAGACCCTCAATAGGGAGTCACTCTTGTTAACAAGTTTTATTTTCAAATGCCCTTGAATTTTATTTTATATTACCCCTAATCAAATTTTAATGCATTCATTGATAAGAAGTCTACAGCTACAGTCTACTAGAATGACAGCTGGGTCCAGTTTTGAATTATCAAAAAGCTAATGACTATTCTCAGGATCTGTCTATCCAAAGAACAAGAATAAGACTTCTAACAAAACAACGGTCCTGGCACAAGCAAACTCCCCACGCTCGCAACACACGCCCGCCGCGCCGCGAGTGCAAACGCTACGATGTGAACCGGTACAGTGACTATTGTGTATATAAACTGTATATACAGTATAGTAGAATGTAAGTGTAGGATAGTGAACTCTGAAGATGCCACAACCTGTGGCGAAATGCGCATCAGGTATCAAAAACTACAAGAACTTCAAGGCAACAAAAACCAAAAAGGTAATTGATTAAAACTGTTCTTGAAACTGGGTTATATCACAAAAAATAATAAGACGTTGTTTGTAATAGTTTCAGAGAGATAATAAATTCCAACTTGTAATTTTATGTTTAACTTCTTAATTATTTACAACAGTTTCAGTGTAGGTAGCCAATTTTGGGAGTTTTTAAAATTCTTTGTAATTAGCATACATTTGCTTTATGTGTATTGTCCTGCTTTTAAATGTCTCCATTATAATATATCCTTTGTAGTGATTTTTTTAAGTTACAGACATTAACAAATAATTGTTTATATTATAATGTATGGATTTTCACAAGTTAATATATTATTTAGCAAGACTCCTAAAACGTAAACACACACTGAAAAATTTCCCCTAAAATTAGAAGAAAATATAACTCTACATCAGTGTACTCAATTTAACCACTTAAAACACCTACAGCAAATGAGGTGTCACTGATTATTTTACAACAGGATGTGAAGAGACGTACTTGCAACATCCAAAGTCAATGGTTCAATCTATTACAGTGCTCAGTCATTGTTCCTTTTGTCAGATTTAAGTACACAATCATTTATATAAATAGTAATTGTTAAAACTGCAAAAAGATCAATTAAATTTAAATTCAAACATTTTCCAAACTTATTTTAGACCGACTAACATTTCAATGTATACATAGCAAGCAATCATAGCTATTGATCTTCAACTAAATACTTTCAAAATACAGTACTTGATTCGTCACTGCCGCATTTTCAGATGTATTGCTTGTACGAATCTTCATAAATTACATTTCAATTATCAATTATCAATCAATTTCAGATCGAATGCATAACATTTGTCAACAAATAGATATGAATAAACATTTTTTTTGCAGAAAAATGAACAATGCTTTATTTTCAGTAATAATTAACTTACAAGATCAATAAATCTAAATTTACAAATGTTCTAAAAATTAGGATTCGTTCAATATATATGTCGAATGCCTGCTCCAATTCTTGAGCAGATCTCCATTTGTTTCTAGATCTTCTCAAGTACATGCTCGGTGCCCTTAAAATTGAGCATGTCAACCTCACTCTAATCTAATTAACATAAAAATAAATGAATAAACATAAATCAAATAAACAATAAACATTTACGTCTAAGTTTGTTAAATTTATCGACTTGTGTGTTTCTCTATTCATCCTTAATGTTTTATTTAAGAGGATACACCAGAGGAGGTGACAGTTTCCGTGAAACATGAAAAGGGTTAAATCTTTAAGAGAATATTGCAAAGTAGCAAATAAAAGCTATATTACTAACTGCCGAGAAGGACCATATCCATACTCACCTGGTGTTAACGACACCAGCAACGCCAGACAACTACAGGTCACCAGTAGGTCCATGACTCCCTGTGACAGAGGTTGGGAAGAGTTATATACCTATCACACCACCCTGCAGCCACCTCTCACGTATCCTCTCTACAGGGGTCCGGCACCGGGACAGTAAACAAATCACCACCCACCCACCTCACTGTGAAGAAGAGGTCAAATTGTTTAGCGTAAAATTTGTAATTTAATTTATTTATTCACAAGGTTAAAGTTGTATTTACTAAAAAAATTGTGTACCATCTTCACATTCTATGCTATATTCTAGCCGGAAACAGTTTTACATACTTCAGGCTAAGAATTGAGGGTCGTAGATTTATCACTTTGATTGAATTTATTGGTGATTGGCGGGATTTGAACTCAGGACCTTGGGGACTGAAGGCCAGCAGTCTACCAGCTTCTCGCCCCCTGTGGTTAATTTGAGTATTGTTGATGAACCAAGGGGTTTTATGGATGGTTGTCTGGGTAACTGAGTTGTTATAGTGCTTGCCTCCAGATTGCTGATTCAATCAAAAGTAAGGTTAATTCTGTGTTAATTTACAAAATCCATATGTGATTGTGCTAATAATATCGAAAAACATAACTTCAATATTGACGCACTTAATGTACATTAAATAACAGCATGTTCTCTCTGAGAAAAATATCTGAGACTAGGTCATATACAACAGATAACCAATTCATTATACAAAGTGGAGGCTGTGTCCAAAGTCAATAAGGCACCCTCTGAAATCAAGAAAGGAGAAAAATGGAGTACAGGAAAACCTCATTCAAGATTAATGAGCTAACAAGAAATAAAAAAAAGATTTACTGAGTGTAGCCATTTTGATAATATTGCATACATATGTAATCAAGTACATGTACGAGTTAGTGTGTTTTTGTGTGTTTTCTGAATGAAACCCACGTAATCGTGCCATCAATCACCCTGCAGGAGGTCGCCAAATCGTTGTCTGTCACCGACCCAATCTAAACTCACTGTTTATTTGATTTTATCCATTCTTATTGAGGGTGGTTCTAAAAATATTCAATTAAATTGTGTTTTGGAACATATCGTTAACAATTAGATCAATGGTTCAAATAATTCGTGCTTCCAATTATTCTGTGGCAATTAAAATACTCTAAGGTGTCTATTTTAGCTGAATACGATAGGTGTATAATATTTTATGATGGAGTGAGAGGATCTGTGTAGCTTTGATACTGACTAAGATCAGCTGTTTATTTAGCCAATGATTATATAGAGCAGCTGGAACAGATCATTTTCAGGATCAAACTATTGGCAACCTTTATATTTTTGTGCGGGCAATTTAATCACCCCACCCCTTGCAAAGTAGAAAACCCCCTTTTTGTATGCAGAGGGTTTATATTCATTGCTAAAACTAACAATATCCAAAACCACTGCTCTTAATTATCTCGTCTCCAGCTCGTTTGTAATTGTATCGCTGTAGTCACGTGATATACTCAGGGGTCACGTAGCATCTACAAGCCTCGTACTTCTTCTTCTTCACGCGTAATTGGCGTTGGCGCCGCTGACGCGCCACCGTCGCACAACGCCGGCGCCCGGGCGCTGCAAGACTAAACCAGGAAACACCCTTATAATTCATCCGCTCTGCATACCTGTCCCCTAGCTGCTACATTAACACGCTCCTAATTACGTTAAATATAGTCGTATGGTGGGGGATTCAGTAAGGGTAGTTTTTTCTAATGCAGTTGATGCAAGATTACACGTTTATTTTAGATAAAGTTAAATAAATATTGCATGAAGCAGTAGCAATTGTAGTATGTTAGTTCTATTTTTTTATCAATTGAATTAAAATTAACAACGACAAAACCCAACCAACTAAATACCATAAACCGTCACTGACATTTCATCATAAAACCCTAATCTCATCCCATGAAAACAAACTAAAACCATGAAACCCTAATCTCACCAGAGAGCCAATTTGCTAAACTGTAATACACATTACACAACGTTCATTTCTTACTACTCACATCTCTTATGAAAGCTCCCACCAAGGAAAAAGAGAACTGGATCTCAGAAAAGAGCAGCCTCAGTGGGTTCATCGGGTTTGGCACGTCACGTTCACAAGAGATCCAGTGATCCAGACATTTCCCATAATGCACAACTCATATAAAATTGGGAGTTGTCCATATGCACATTCTTTGGAAGAAGTGTCTTAGTCCTGCAATATTTTCGGTCCATAGTAGTCTTTTCTTCTTGTCTATGCCGGTGGAATCTTTACGGGAGGAATTGCATTAGGAAGTACCTAAACGCTTTTAGGGTAAGCGGTCCAAATTGTGTTGTGGATGTGTCGGGAATCGAACCCGTCATTATCAAGCAACACAAATGCGTTTTTTTTCGAAGCCGCACACCGGATTCAAATAACTTTTACGGTAAAATACACAAAGTTTCAGCTCATGACGCTCCAAATCCCCTCAAATCCACAGTTCCAGGGTGGTCCACGTTCCGCGTTCCGCGTTCCCAAGTCTAGCGGAACGTCCAGGATGAGTAAACAAACCCTTGGTCAGTCATGGTCAGTCGCCTCTGTGACACCTCGGGGGCAAGACACTCGATCTACCAATTAACTCATTAGGGGAAACTGCAAGTTCTCTCAGGCCAATTTCTAACCGAAAGACATTTTGACAGCTGGTATTTCACGCTTCACATTTCTGCAATTTGAGCCTATTAGAGTTGTGAACTTGATGTAGTATGTATTTTTCGTTTTACAAAATATTCCTGTGACGAACAACGTTTTCGAATGTAGAATAATTTGTTTCATTCGCCGTATACTCAGTAGGTAAGCGGAATCGACCAAAGATCTAAAACCTCCATTACGTTTTAAATTATCAGAGTGGATTTTTTTATTTTGCTAATAAATATCTGAACTACTGTCAAGAGTTATTGGAAATAAGGATAGAAATCGTTAAATGATTTAACACCTGTGATAACCGAAGTACGATATATATTAAAATTTGATTTTTTCTTTGCAAAGAATGTATTTTTAACTATGAAAAACTATGGACCAAAATTGTTATTTTATTATGATAGTAATTTTAGTCCTTTGATATTAACGTTGGACGAATATATTGTATCATATCTTGGACGTATCATCCCTAGACCGAGATTAAAAAATTCATAGTCATTTTAGTCAATTTCAAAAGGATTCGTTATCATAATCGCAACAGAAGAACGGCAAGCATTCAATATTGTAGCGAAGCCTGTGAAAAAAATAAACTTCAGCAAATTGTAGCAAAAAAAATCACAAATACGAAATTTGGTTCAGTTATACAATTATTAAAATGCTAAATATTTAAATATCAAACGAAAATACAAACGGAAAACCGAACATAAACCATATATCGGTGCAAATACTATTTAATTGATTTTATCTTAATTTAAACCTAAAACAATTGTATTGACATAAATAATTCCTATTCCAGTTTTAAATAAATAACTACCATTAGCAACTATATCATCCAAGTAGGATTTTAAATAGTCTACATGATCAAACTACTACACAAGAGGTATAGTGATTTAAAGGCAGGGCCGGATTTCCCAATAGGCCCGGTAGGCCCGGGCCTATGGGCGCAAGCTCCCAGAGGGCGCAAGGCCGAGAGGAAGACATATTTTTAAAATATTAAAAAATAAAAATAAATAGTCATAGTTGATAGAAAAAACTCTGGCTAATAAAGCATTCTGATTCTGAAGTTTATAGGAAGAAATAATTGTTAGAAGATTTAAACTATTTTTCAGAATTACGCATCAATTTCGTTACAACATTGGTAACGAACATTGGTACGGGAGTAGGCTGTAGGGATATTGTCGAGCGCCCGAGTGGTACGCATCGTATTGCCACTATGTTGGCTCGGTGCTACTGATCGGAGTGATTATGGTAGCATGCGTGCTAGACACTGTTACCACCAAACACACAAAACAAAAGTTATTGACTAATCTTTTGATTAGTTTACAACAATCTGCAGGATCCAGTTAAAATATATAATACGTTGTGTTGAATATATAAAAAAATGATCAATTTATCTTTAAAATTAACGAAAAAATATTAATCTCAGTTTACAACAGGTTTTCGACAAATTAAATACCTTCCAAAGCACCATTAATGCTGTAATTTTCTCCTCAGACCTAAGGATCGATATGGTTATAGTAATACCAGAAACAAAAGAACCCTGGGCCGTTTCGAGCCGCGCAGGTTTGATAGCCGGAATATTGCTCTGTTTTGCTTTGGAAATATAACCTAGATGCAGTACCACCATAGATTAAATATAACTCAAGTCGACTAGCTATCACATTGTTGATTCATTATTTTCATGTCTAGTTCACGTTGGTGACACTGAACGTTAGTTTTGACATACTTTTGTTTCTATAATTTTAGGGTTAGTTCTATGATGTGTGTTTTAATTTCTTGTAATATAACCAGGAGACGACCTATTGTTTATGATTACATCGTTTTATTTAGGATAAACTAAGTTTAAATAACAAGAATTGTTATAATGAGCTAGTCCATAATGATGACAAATCTACTAAAGGAGTATGTTTAATCTATGGTATCACGTACTGTATGGAGTTCATGTTTTTGGGCCTGAAATTGGAATCAATGGCCATGTTTTTTGCAGGAATGCTCGGTGGGTTGAGTTGTATTGTTTCAGTCCCACAAACGTGAGCATTTACTAAAAGCATAAAATTGCTAAAAGTGTTTAAGACTGCACTTTATTAAGGAAAACGAGTCAATTCTTCAAAAAAAACTTGCAATGATATAATTCCGACCAGGAGTGGTATTCAAGCAATTAACTTAGGCCTATGTGCGTGATAACTGTGGCCAGACTAGGGGCGGAAAATTATTTGGGCCTAGGGGCGCCAAAATGCTAAATCCGGCCCTGTTTAAAGGGTCTAAAAGTGGATTTGTATCTGTAAATTACTAATTCCATCCTGGACACCGAATTATGCTGACATCATTTGCCATTCGATTAATATTACTGTCAACGTTGGATGGTATCAATAACAAGGATTGGACTGTCACCTAAAAAAAAAACAAAAATTTGACAAAGACGTTAACAATCAGAATATAATTAAGTCCCTAAACGTCAAGAGCACGACTTTCCCGCCAGTTTGACCCGACTTTGACAAATCTCCCGCGATTTAGCGCACCATTGGCGCCACCTCCCCCTCCCCTGTCGGAAGTCCCTGAATTACACTAGGTGACACCCGACCCTTCAGAGTCTTTATAACCACTTAGGCCAGGAAGAGGGAAGTAGACACGTAATATCTGGGGTAAATTATTTTTTACTATTTCAGTGTTTGCAAAGGGTTGCACTATCCCTTTTAAGGGTCTCAATTCGTACGGGGTTTGGACATTACTACAAAGTGGGTGTCGGCGAATTCGGTCTTTGTGGTTGAAGGGTTAGTTTTTTTTAGAAAGAACCGGACTTCTTGTAAGAGATTTAGTAGTAAAGGAGGCACGAGAAACATCGTGTAATTTTTAATACAGTGGTAATCACTAAAGTTGAAAGTTTAAAAAACTAAATTATAGGGAACTTGTTAAGGGATAATTTATACATTCTTTAGCTATCTAAACTCAATTGAGATAAAAATAAGCAATTTTTTAAATTTTGGGTAAAATGCGTAGAAGAATGTATTGTACAATCTACTATATTCTGGTTAATTCAATCTTTCAATAATACTTGGATTATTAATTCAATCTTTCAATAATACTTGGATTATCAACAATTGATTATCATTTTGACTATTTCATTCTACCCTAGAATAAAATAATTGCACTTAACCAATTTGTAATAATAATAGTACTAACAAGGATACGGAGAATGTACTAAACTATTTTTGCCAATCTACAATTGAGAATGTTTTGTCACCTTTCATATCTATTTTCAACTTTCGTTCTTGTCTAAATAATCGATTGGTTATGGCACGATTATTCGTGGGTTCTGGTGAATTGTTAGCTCGCATGACAATGTGTGAATGATTACTTTGCAACAGACTGTTTAAACAGCTGATAACATTATAAATAGGTAGTTGCCAACAGCGAAGACAATTATTCCATTCGTCTTGGAACTATCTTGTAGCTCCCACCGTGTTAGGTCCAATGTTCAAGAGTGAAGGTGCGAACAATGTTTAGAAAATTATTAATTTTATCCTTTACAATAGGCTTGAGTGTTGTGACATGTGTTTCGAACGAGGTTCTGATTCTAACGTCTTTGATCGAAAGTGGCAAGATCGCAGAAGCTCAACAAAAGTCTAGAGTTAGTCCTGATATCAACGGCGTGAAAAGCTACACTGGATTTTTAACTGTTGACAAAGATTGCGGGAACAATCTTTTCTTTTGGTTTTTTCCTGCGGAAGTCAACTGGGAAAACGCTCCGGTTTTACTCTGGTTGACAGGAGGACCAGGAACCAGTTCTTGTTACGGACTCTTCGCGGAGGTCGGGCCCTTCCGGTGGAAAAACAACACTAAGGAACTGATAGAGAACAAGAACAGATGGACAAAAGACTTTAACGTTATTTTCCTCGACCAACCTGTTGGAACTGGTTTTAGTTACACGGAGAGAAACTGCTACGCGAAGACCAACAAAGAGATCGCAAAACAAGTGTATTCGGCTCTCGTACAATTTTTTCATCTTTTCCCAAATTTACGGAAGAACAGCTTTTCCCTGGTTGGGGACTCTTACGCAGGCACCTATCAAACGGCGATAGGACGTGAGATAGACGAACGAAATTGCGATTCCAAGGTGAAAATAAACTTGAAAGGCGTTCTTCTTGGGAACCCTTACTTGGACTTGAGTTGTCTCAGCTACGCTTCGAATTGGTACGAAGCGGGATTCATAGAAGAGGATAGCAGAGACAGAATCGTGAAATACCAAGGGATCAGAAATAAATACATACAAGAGAAAAACAGCGAGAAAGCTAATGAGTACGAGAACAAAATTTGGAATGAAGAGTTCAGCCAAATAGGGTTGCCGAGCATGTTTAATTACCTTTACGACGAAGAGATAACCATGGGTTTCAAACACTTCGTGACTGACGAGAAAACAAGAAAGTTGCTGAAAGTTGGCAACACGAAATACAACGTGACATCTTACTTTGGAACGGTGGCCAAAGTTCTTGAGCCGGAGTTGATAGTGTCTGCGATTCCCAATGTCAAATATTTGCTGGACAAGAACTACTTGGTGGCGTTCTACACAGGCCAGCTGGACGTCCAGTGTATTTACTCATCGTTGAACTGTGTGTTGGACCAGCTGAACCACGCGGAATATCAGAAAGCTAAAAGGTCAGTAAGGTAAATGCACCAGTAGCTGACAGTGCTCCAGAAGCTGACAGTTTGAGTTTCTTTACATTATAATGCGGTCTCTTAAAAATATTTACACATGATTGCATTGTTAGAAGAACATATGTTTATTCTTGATTTGTTTACAAACAAATCAGCGAAATTCAGCCCATACTCGCTGAATGGTGGTGGTTTGAAAGCAACCCTGTCTGTACACATCACATTTAGTCGATCCCCTTCGTGAAATTGTTAAGAAGGTAAGTTTGGTTTTTTGTAATTTCGCTAAATTTCTTAAATAGTATTAATGATTAGGCTCATTATTTTTATCAGTTATACCTTTTTTGACAATTTCATGATAAAATTGGGGTGTTAGGGGTTTTGGATTTAAAATTATATCAATGTCAGGCTTTGGTACTCAAAAGCTATACAAGTTCCACTAGCTGACAGGGGATATTTGCTACTTGCACAATATTAAATTGGTTTTACCCATCGAAATTTGCATGCTATTTATAATTTATGTGATCTCGCATTTTTATAAAATGGTTTTGATTTTTTAATTAATAAGCCAAATTATCTTTAAAAAATGTATATTTTTTAGAATATATATAAAATATATATATATATATTTTAATGTAAATATTTTTTATTTTTAAATATGTAAAATAAATTTTCTTAATAACGTTTTACATGATTTTATAATTTAATTATTAAGTTAGATTTTATTCGTCTTATAAATTATAAAACCCTTAGGTTTAGCAGCTAGTACATTTATAGTTCCAGTGTCAGCTACTGGGACAACTGACAGTCAGCTACTGGTACAAGCACTTTTTTCACTGTCAGCCACTGGAACACGTACAAAGGTTGAATTAAGTTTAAAAATGTTATAAAATATATTTAAAAACCCCTTTTTGTATGACAAATTTGAAAACTACACTAAATTTAGAATCACATAAAATCCGTAATATCTCTTAAGTTCCTATTTATTCAAAACCACGGATTATTAAGTGCGTATAGTTTCTTATACTGTCAGCTACTGGTGCGTTTACCTTATTCTCTTTATGTCATATTTTATCATGATTATTGCTATTTATATTTTACTACCGGCCTTAGTAGTCAAAGCTTGGGCCCAGTTGTCCTTGACCACCCTTTTGTTGAACGGTCCTGGCTGGACCAGCTCACTCCCACAAAAAAACCACCTTAAAATCACTAAATGTATAAGTATGTACTAAAAAACGTAAAACTGTTATTTTAGTTTTTTGAAAATCAATTGTATCGGTTTAGAAAAGTTTCTCAAGCATGGCTAAATCATGCTGTTTTTTTCATAATGTCTGTCCAATTATATTTGAATTTTGAAAATTTTATTCAAACTATACACTACAAATAAGAAGTAAGATTTAGGTATAGAAAGAAAGGTTTTCGAAAGCATTTGGAGTTCGAAATACTTTGAACTCTGTAGAACTTTTCAGTACAAGTTGGTATCAGCAAACTTTACTGACAACTGTCCTTACCCCAGGAAGAAGTGGTACGTGGACGGTCGTCTGGCAGGATGGGTGAGGCAAGGGTCAAACCTGATGTCAGTCGTGGTGAGAGACGCTGGTCACGTGGTTCCAGTGGACCAAGGGGAGGCCGCTTTAGCGTTGGCAAAAGGATGTCTTGGAAGTGACAAACTCGACCTCCAGAAGTAACCTGGATAAAATGTCCATCAGAGCTGACAAATTGAGAAAGGGGTTTTTTAAGAAGAAGGGCCTTTCTTGGAATAAACTGACATTATGAACATTGTAATTTTTCCCCTTTTATAGTACGATATGTTTTATTTCGTGTCCAGCTAAGTATAAGCTTTTAAAGTATTGGGCGTTATATATTCAATGCGTAGTTTATCATGTAATGAAGTTTGACAATAAACGTGTCAAGTTTTTCTAAGTATATTTATTTTAGACTGGCTGGGTAGCTGAGTGGTTGCGGTGCTCGCCTAGCAATCAAAAGGTCGCCGGTTCGATCCTGTAAAAAGTAGCTGTTTGATGGTTTGAAACACTGGACTCAGCTATCGATGAACTGTCTGTCCCTGACCTGGCTTTAAATAAATGGTTGTGCTGACTAATGAAACAGCTGATCTTAGTCAGTATAAAATGTACACAGATAATCTCCCACCATTCTACACTCATCGTTCACAAATTTCGGTTGAAATACGCACCTAGGTGGCGTCCCCAACTCAATTGATAATTGATTATACAAATTTTCCACAACCTTAAGATATCATTACACCACTAACCTTACTGACCAAAACCCCAACTTTTTCGATTTCAAGAGATCATCAATCAACCTATCGTCAAAGCATACTCTATTTGTATACTACTTGTAACCCAGATTGTTTTTAAGCCCTAAACAAATTCTCACGCAATCAAAAAGGCTTGCCGCCAAAACCTGTGTCTCCCTCCAATAACTCAGGGGATGATATCCTCCCGGGGTTTTATGTGGGTCAGGGGTCAAGGGGCGACACGGTATTTCCATTTGGCGGCGCTTGCGGCTGATGTGCCCCGAGGGAGCATTTTGGGGCCGTGACGTCACGCGCAAGTAGATTTGTCTGGTTAACGCATCAATTTAGACCTACTTATCTCCGGGATTGCTTGGTTGGTCGTGGTGAAATATTTCATTAAGTATAGATGGGTTAGGGGATGATTAGAGTGTTCACTGACTCAATCCTGAAAGGTATTAAGGAAGGAATAGGAATTAACTGAATGGTTTATAAAGCTTGTCCGACAGTGAACGGTTTCCCGGTTTCTTCCTGAGAAAATTCAGTAGCTTTTTGAAACTGGCTCCAGCTATCCGTAATCATTGGGTCTCTAAAAAATGTTCCTGACTATACTCGTTTGAGTTATAATGGATACACTATTTCGCCTCTACAAGTACCGAACTCATTAATGTATAAGGATAAAAATAGTTTCGAAGGCCACTTAAAATTATGTTTCATAGTTACAACTTGTTTCGCAGTCAGGTATGTCAATAGGTCATAATATCAAACACGCTAAGCAACTGGTCACCAAAAGTAAATATTTGTCTCTATAAAATTAATAAATTATCAGTTTCAAACTTCAAAAATGTGGTTTTAATCCTCTGTCATCTTTTGAAGTAAACAACATTCGTGTTTAGTCTGCTCTGGCTCTTCTACGAATTGAAAAATAATGACTTTTGAAAACTTTCAGAAAAGAGTCAATATATTTTATCCAGGAACCTCTATGGAGCAAAGTTCACACGCTCCCTACAATCTTGTAAACTGTGAACCAAATAATGAGTTAATATTTTACCCAAGGTTGATCCGAAAGTAAACAGTCAGAAGCCCCAGGATACTTAGTGACGGAGGACGGATTTGTTTATAAACCGCACCTCTAATGTCCTGTCCTGCGCAGACAGAACCCAGAAACGTGTATTTTGCGTAAACGTCACATTGAAAAGTTACTTTACAAATAAACTACTTGTCAATCATGTAGTGGTGTCTTGTATGTTTTTGTGAATTGATCTCGGTTGAGATCTCAGTCAAACTTCGGAGTAACATTTGGTAACAAATTTTATTATTATGGTTATAGACCCACTACAATAATGAGCATAGTAACCTAAATTAAAAATCAAGATAATAAGAAATGATTTTCATAATCTCTTTCAACATTCCTAATCAATAAACCAGTCTCTACAAAATTATTCGATTGACGTTGTCCCAGTTCAACCCAGTACAAAACCTAAATGTGAAACTTATTACATTATGTTTCAAGGAGTAAAAACTGTTGTTGGAGTGATTTTTATGAAAAAAGTACAACCTAAGAAATTTTCCTTCACAACTTTGGTTAGATCCTACATAAACACGTCTCTAATACCTCAAGAAATGTCTAAAATATTGATCTTAAATACCCATTTGCTCATTTTGTCTTGACCCTCTAAATAGAAAATATGATTATAAGAGTTATGCCAATACGAACAACGACCTTCGGATTTCATGTTGGAACTGCGACTTTTAGAGTGACGTAGTTTTACCGAGCAAAAGCTTTATCGAAAAAAAACTTTGAACTCTTATGCTAGAATATAAAATCTCAAGCTTTGGTTGCAACGAATACACATTTTCTAAGTAATTCATTTTGTGAGCCATGAATTTTCCCGAAAGATAGTCCTATGTGGCTTTAGAACATTGTGTCGCAAAACTCATTGAGCTTCACCCACCATTTAGCTATGAAATTTTGAAACGCATTTTCAAAAATTTTAACGTAAAACTACGTTTGATCAAAAACATATCTGTTTTCAGAACTAAGCAGTGTGCATTTATATGTGTGTTGAAGGCGTGTTTGTTGAGTAATTTGAAACCAACCCAAGTCTAATCCCAACCTAATTATCGGATTCCCGGGTTAATCAGTCCCCTGGGAGGGAATGTATGGTTTAGGTCTACAAGCTGATAACTGCTTCAGATGCAAACAGAGCCGCCCATGTGATAACGATTTGCAACGTGAACTCACATGGATGTAGTTTTAGAACTAACACCGTTAGTGCTACTGGTTTAGAGTGATAATGCTGTTTTTAATGTCTTAGTCCAGTCAAATAAAGGTTTAACCTCCGGAAAAATCCGATAGTTTTGAAATGTTGTACCCTCATTACTAGGTACCTAGGGAAGATTATAACAAAACTCCCCATAAATATGAGGCGAGCTCAAGCGGCAATTAGCGAAAACCTTTTTTGGGCTAAAATCTCGATAACCGTTGGTCGGAGTTAAAAGTGGCCACATATCAAATGAGAGATAATTAAATTTTAAACAAAAATGCCATTTACACTTTTATTTTATTCCTAATGGTTACAGACTTACTTAGAGGGCTGTAAAATATGGGGTTTTCTCAAACTGTCGGGGTGCGAACAATGGTGCAAACTTAAGTACAGACAGTTTAAAAAAGAACACCACAACTTCAAGCAATATAACTCGGTAACCATTAGGAATAAAATAAAAGTGTAACTGTCATTTTTGTTGAATTTTAATGGTATTTAATCTTACTAATATTATAAATGTGAAAGTTTGTGTGTTTGTTTGTTTGTTTGAAGTTCAATCACGCATAAACCACTGGACGGATTGGGCTGAAATTTGGCATGATGATAGCTTACATTCCCGATTAACATATAGGCATATTCTTATCTCAAAAATCCTTTCGGGCTCCGCCCCAGTGGCTCTGTAATTCCCCATGTTAACCTTATGAGTATTCATATTTAAAGGGAATTAACAAATTTAGTCAGCTGTTTCAACTAAAAAAGTTGGTTCTATGATATGGAAAAGCATTAAAAAGTTATAAGATTTACCAACAGGGTGCAGCACTATATTTTTTTGCATTTATGAAAACAGCTAATTTGAACTAAGCAGCAACAAAAAACTGTGATTCGCAATGAGAACTGTCAAAGTAGGATTGTTTACAGTTATGTATATGTTTTTCATTTCATGAATAATTTGTGATATTTTGCGAATTGATAATTTATTTTTCTCTATTGTTTAGGTAAAATGGTAGAACATTATGGCTATGGTAGATGTGTAATACTATAGAATACTGTAAATTTAAAAAAGCAAATTTTATCAAACTGTGTCCTCCACCCATTGCAATCGCAAAGCTTGAGTATAACTGCAATAAGCATTTTATACTTATATTCCAACCCCGTACGAAGGACGGGTACTCTGCTAGTATGGTATAAAGCCACTTTTAACCGCGACCAACGTTTCTCGATATTTTAGCCAAAAACAAAAAAAATCCCCGTTTTCACTAATTGCCGCTAGAGCTCGCCTCATATTTATGGGGTCTTTTGATATAATCATCCCTAGGTACCTAGAACTATGTGTGCAAAGTTTCAAAACTTTCGGATTTTTTCGGAGGTTGGGTAATTAATTTTTATATTTTGACTGGACTATCTTTACCAATGGCATTTTAAATTAAGACATTCGAACTCTATTAAGGGAAAGTGGTCAAAACCAGTTGTCGATTTTTCTGTATGGATCGAGAATAATTGAATCCAACCCTCATGCCTCGAAGTTCGAGTCGTTAATGCGAGCAACACAGCCCAACCCGGTTTCCATAGTCTGATGAGTCAAGTTCGGGTCAATATTTTTTGAATGCTTACTTACTTGATGCTTTAGTTAATCTTACACAGCGCTGTGCTGTCGTTATGGTTTGTTGACTGTTCATAGGTTATTAGCTGAAATTAGGTGTTAATCAATGGATCAATTTAGTTTGTCCTTGAATGCAATCAAGATACACAGTGATGATGACCTCCTAAAAAGCTACACACCAAACCTGCATGTTAACAGATGCTAAGAAGTTCGTAAAAACCGCCATGATATGAATGTCCAGATTAAGCAATTCCGTATTGATAGGGTAAGGATTAATGAGCATTTACTGTGATTCAAATATTCTTGGGAGTACTTTGGCGATTTGTTGTAAATACAACCACCGTTGTATTTACTTCTCTTCCTAATGTTCAATCTATATACATTTTTTACTGTAATTTAATGGCGTTTTTCCATCAAAAAACAATTCAACTGACAAGTAATGAAATTTTCGAAAAAATTCATATAAAAAGTTGAGATAAATTTGCCCTTATGCACGGTTACCCAGTCTTAGACCACCATGTTCCAAAATGGATCTGAAATGAGCCTAACGGTGTATTTTAACCACCAAATAGAATCATGACACGATTATCAATACCTATTTTAACATCTACACGAAGCTCCGTGTAGCTGCATGTCAAAACCCAGGATGATCCGAAGGTGACAG